CGTCCACGTGAGCATGGACCCGCATCCACATTTATTTACATTTAATTAGCAGCTCTATATGACGTTGATTATCCAATCTTAATTTCATAATCAAGTTTAGTTTGACACGTTATGATCAAGAATATTTCAAGATATTCCCCAAGGACACCGACCGTAATTACACACACTTCAATATATATATATATATATATATATAATATGTTTTTCTTTCGGTTTTACCCCTCATATCTTCTTGTTTTTGTTTTGAATTTAATTAAGTTGTTTAATTGAGAAGAGAATACAGTGAAACTCCAACGATTGAATTTATGTGCAAGTATTTTCTTATAGTTATATATATTTAGTGTTTAAGTTTTAAAATTAGAACTCAAAAAATTAATTTTTTTAATGTATTAAATTAATATGAAAGATATGCCTTTAAAATTACTTGGAGATGAATTAATCTTGACGTGGAGAAAGAGAGCATAAAGAAACTTACAAACTAGGTGTCCATATATGAAGGGTTAAGAGCTAGCGCTCTTGTTTGCTTTTTCATTTTGTAACTAGCCAGCTAAAGAAATATAGCTTCAAGAAATTACGAGACATTGAAATGGACCATATATGTCTACCATGATCTGCTGGGAAACAAATTAAAAAACAGTCCAAAACAGGAATATCTAGAGAGATCCAACTTAGAGAACTTGAGATTCAGATGAAATCAAGTACTTCATGAATGATTAGAAGGAAACAAGAAGATGGAGACATTTCAAGTGTTTGAAGAAATACTGTTTCTCCATAACTTTATCAATGAATCCGAAACATGTAGATATACAAATTGCATGCTAAAGGTTGCGTTTGCTTTGTTTGTTTTTGATATGGGATCATGCTATGAATGATAAAACCACTCAAATCGCTTGATTTAAAATTAAAAAATATATATATAATAATCAGGGAAAAACACCTGATCTATTGGTGTGGTCACGTTTCGAAATGTTACCAAATTGAGTTCGCCTCTCTAGCTACTGATTTTTTTTTTTTTTTACAAGGGTAATGGTTAGAAAATTAGTTTGAGTTAGTTGTTAACAACTGAGGATTCGATTCCCAGATTTGGTGAACATTTCACCCCCTCAAATGAAGCGCGCGACTATTGGGTCGCATTTGGTGGAGTTCATGACGGTGGTGAAACTCGAAACTCTGACCACCTCACCCACGTACTTAAGGCTTGGGGTCGAACCATTGGGCCCAAAGATCCGGTTCTCTCTAGCTACTGATGTTAAATGTAAGTAATTCACGTTGAAAATAATAAATATCTGTGAATTATTATTATTATTTTTTTATATTTGATTATAAAATATATAAAAAGAGATAACTCTTTTTTATTTTTAAATTCTTTTCCATCAAACTTAAAACTTAAACTTAAGACTTTTAATTTAAAATCTAAAATTTTTAATCATTAAATTATCTCATTGAGGTAATATTTGTCAATTAATATCTCTTTATTAAACTAAGGTAATTGGACCAGTCCTCCTTAAAAAATGGAGCACTAATAGATAGGGGATAGATTAAATTTTCTTGCCAACTGGTCCACTTACGAGGGCGATTGGACTAGGACTTTTTACAGGACCAATGCGTGGTTGGAAGAAAAGGAAAAAAAAAAAAAAATCTCCTTGGTTTAGTTGGGAAAAATGGTGGTACCACTGAGCTCTCCTTAATTAAAGCAACTGTTCTATTAAAGGATTAATTAGTTAAAGTTTCCAAATCACACGATCGATTCCGTATCCCCATATCCCCGCAATCTTATCATTTTTCGAGATTAAAGTCCTCGAAATAAACTCATAATCTGATCTAATCTTTTGAAACTTCCAAGTGGAGCAGCTTAATTTCTGCTTCAGCATTATTATCAGTTTCTCTGAGTGTGGTCCAGATTGAGTGGCTCGGTCTTCCTGCACAAGAAAATGGCTCAGAAAATGAGATCGAGGCTCGAGCACACGTGGGACCGAGAACCCCTTTTACTTTAGTCTCCAAACAAGGCCATGTGCTGCCGTACGGGCCACGGTGCACAAGGACCCATCACCGCATGTTGGTCTTACCAAATTTAAAGCACGAATCATGACCCTTTTCCCATATTCTATTCTATATTAATGCAAATTTAAGTAGTAGATAATTAGTTAGTTAACCTGCAGCATTCAAATTTTTGAAAGGTTAATATAAGTAATTTTTCATGAATTTTCAATTTCAATAAATAATCTACCTTTAAACGTACATGAGTGGATAGTATATATGGTGTAGTGTTAATCTATTATGCTACTTGACTATTATATTAAAAAAATTAATACTAATTCACGGTAAAAGGGAAATATGGAAGAGAGATTGGGATTTTAATGGGGTTTGGGTAATTGAATCTTTTGGGGCAAGGAGATTTTAAGTAGGTGTTCAAAGCGAAATCATGTTGTGCGTATGTTTCCTTCAATTGCTACAAGATGGAGTCTTGGGATCTAAATTTCTCACCACTTACATCAAGAAAGGTGTGTTAATTTTGTTTAAGAGAATGTTGTACAAGGTGAGTATTGAAGGGTCAAGGTTGGTGATTTGATTGGTTAATTCTTTTAAATAAATGTAGAAATTTAAAGTATTGTCAAGGTTAGTAATTTAAACCATTATGCTATGTTTTGGGTAAGATTAAAATTTGAAGTTTGAGTTTATAAGATATACTTTTTAATTAATTTCAATGATTACTACTTTTTATTGATAGTTATTGTTGGACAATAAAATCGATAAGACTTGAATGAAAAAAAGACAAACACATATGCCTTTCTAATTTTGAAATCAAATAAAATATTAAGTTAAAGGACAGGTAAAATAATAAACGTCTACTTTACCAAAAGGGTAAAGTTAAACCTAGGATTGAACCAAATTGATCATACAACCTCGTTGATTATATTCACCATTAGTGTTTTCTATTTTTATGGGCATTAATATCCATTATTCAATCATCTTAGAACTTTGACATTCAAGTCACGCATGTTTCATGGCCCAACATTTGATAATGATTCTTGTTGAAAAAGGGCGAAAAAGATTACCCCATTTACTTTTGAGGTGACATGTGAGCATAATAACTCAATTACTAAAATTTAAATTTTATCTATAGGGACATTTCAATAATTAAAAGGTTAAATTTTAATATTAGTGATTTTAAATTTTAATTTTAAAATAAATAATAAAAAAATTTTAAAATT